GGAAAACCACTTAGCCATGTGTTTTCCTACATGCTTGAAAGTATTCTGTATGCATTTATGAAAACATCCTTTTGTTTTGCCTTAATTTTGAAGAAGTAGGAGGGGAGGTTGAGTAAATACTCCAAACTGTCCACTGAAGTAATAGGTCTTATTAGGTTAAATAACTTAATAGACTTTCTCTGGGCATCTGGTATTTGCAGCCATGTGATGCCAATAAACAAACCAACCAAGCAAGAGAACCATGGCAACTAAATGCGGCACATAATTGGCAGCATAGTCAGCACCCTGTTGGGCTCACTGGCAGCCAGGTTAGGTGGGAATAGTCCGTGGAAATTTCCATCAGGAGCCAAGACAGAGGGTAGCAGCTGGAAGAGAGGGGTCAGTCAGTGGAGTCAGACATGTCAGGAGGCAAAAGAGGTGTAGACATCTGGACTGTTCTATAAAGATGGGGGACTGAGCCTGCCCCGTGGAAGGACTGGGAGAGCTTTGGCTCAGGAGTCCAGAGATCTGAGTTCTGATCCCAGCAATGCTACCAGATCACTGACTGACCTTGGGCAAGTCATCCTTGTCCCCCCATTCCTACCTCCCAGGTTTTGTTAACTAAAATAAGGACTGAACTTTGTGACCTCCACAGTCCTGTGTAAAGCCAACATAAAAACAAAGAAAAAGCTTCAGGCACAAGATCAGAATAAATTCCAAGACTAGGAGTTCAAGGAAATGAATAGGACAACCATGGGTGGCAAGACAGGGGTAGGGAAAGATAGGATCTCTGTCCCAGAGATCAGAGTTTACCATTGCTTTGGTAACCAGTTACTGCAAACTTAGTGGCTAAAACAACACAAATTTATTCTTTTATGATTATATTTCTGCAGATCAGAAGTCCAAAACGGGTTTTATTGGGCTAAAATCAATGTGCTGGCAGAGCTGCATTCCTTCTGGAGGCTCTGGGGGAGAATTGTTTCTTTGTCTTTTCCAGTTACTGGAAGCTGCCTACACTCATGGGCTCATGGACCCTTCCTCCATCTTCAAAACCAGTTGAGTAGCATCCCAAGCTGTTCCTAACTCAGATTCTCCTGCATCCCTCTTATAAGGACCTTTGGGATTACATGGGATCCACCTGGACAGCCCAGAAAAATCTCATCTCAAGATCCTTAATCATTGATACACAGTCCCTTTTGCCATATAAAGTAGCAGATTTCCAGGTCCCAGAGATTAGGACATGGACATCTCAGCAGGGGCATATTATTCTGCCTACTACACCCACCAAACAAAGCCCTCCCACCGTGTCCTCCCTCTCAGAGAATGGCACCCTCCTCCACCAGCTCCCCAAACCAGAACCTCATCAGCCATCCATGGCAACTGATGTCCTTCATTCTCTACCCCATATCCAATCCATCTTCAAGTTCCAACTATTTTATCTTCTAAATAGATCACTAATATATTCTCTCCTCATCATCTCATCATAATCTCAGTCACCACTGTCTCTCCTGGAGCCAAATCTGTTCTCACAATTGTTCTTCTCTCGTTTTCCTCCAAGATCATCTTCCACAAATGCAGCCACAGATTTTAACCAAAATCTGGTCCATGTTGCACCCTGATGAAAATTCTTTAATGGCTTCCAGATACTCTTAGGCTAAAGGGAAAACTCAAAGAGGCTTACAAAGCCCTGCATGATGGGACTCTGAGAATGCCTTCGGCTTCACCTTCTGCCCCTTCCTTTCACATACTAAGCTCCACCTCCCCACTGGCTGTCAGTTCTTTGAAAAGACCACATTTTCTGGCACCTCAGGGCCTTTGTGCATACTACTCTCACTTTTTAGAATGTCTTTGGCCATCCCTTTGCCTCTCTGCCTTTGGACTTCAGTTAAAGGTTTAATTCCTCAGAAAAGAATTCTCCAACTTACCTCCAATTGGACTAGATTCCCCTGTCAAATACTCTTCAGAGTATTCAATTCTTTTCTGTCATAATATTTACCATAGGTTTAAATTGAATGTTTTCGGATCACGAGGTCAGGAGATGGAGACCATCCTGGCTAACACGGTGAAACCCCGTCCCTACTAAAAAAAATACAAAAAACTAGCTGGGCGCAGTGGCGGGCGCCTGTAGTCCCAGCTACTCGGGAGGCTGAGGCAGGAGAATGGCGTAAACCCGGGAGGCGGAGCTTGCAGTGAGCTGAGATCCGGCCACTGCACTCCAGCCTGGGCGACAGAGCGAGACTCCGTCTCAAAGAAAAAATAAATAAATAAAATAAAATAAAATAAAATAAAATAAATAAATAAATAAATAAATAAATTGAATGTGTGATCATTTGTTTAAAATCTGTCTTTCGTACTATAAAAACTTATAAAGTTATAGAACTATAAAAATGTTCGACTTTTTATAAACTCTATGAAGGCAGGGAGTGGGTGTATCTATTTTACTTTTTTATGCACCATTGCAATTCTGATGCCTAGGATAATATAGGCACTTGATATTCATTGAATAAATAAAGGAATGAATACAAGGTGGAGGTGTAGTATAAAGAAGTGGTTTAAAAGTCATGATCTAGAGACAGACATATTAAACTTTAAATCATGATGCTGTGTGATTTTAGGCAAGATATTTAAACGCTGAGGCTCAGTTTCCTCAGCTATAAAATGAAGATCTTAATATCTACCTTAAAAACATGTAAGGATTAATGTAGGGACTTACAGTACTTGAATGTATCAAGGGAAACAGTACAGGAAAGCGCTATTATAATTATCATCACCAGTGCAAACAAATGGTGGCTGAGCTCCATAAGTGCTGTGACTTCCTTCTCCTGCTTCTAGGATCCCTAATGGCGAGAAGTCAATCCCATGACACTTGTGGATGGCTCAGAAATGACAGTAGTTGATTTCTGTCACTTGTCTGGAATGGGTCTTTTGGTCATAGATTCTCAAGATTTCAAAGACATCAAGATCACCAAGGAGCACATGTTAAAGTCCAGATTCCCAAGTTTCACCTCCAGAGCTCAGATTCATTGAGGTTGAGGTGATATTTGGAAATCTGCCTCTTAGTAAGACCCTAGGTGATTCTGATGCAGAGACTCCAAGGACTACACTTTGGAAATTCTAGTACGGTCATCCCTTGGCATTCACATGGGATTGGTTCCAGGACTACTCACAGATACCAAAATTTGCAGATGCTCAAATCCCTTATATAAAATGTCATAATATTTGCAATAACCTATGCACATGCTCTCATATACTTTAAATCATCTCTAAATTAGTTATAATACTGAATGCAATGTATATACTATATAAATTGCTATTATGTTATAGTTTTATTTGTATTGTTTTTATTGTTGTGTTATTTTTATTGTTGTTTTTAAAATATTTTTGATCCAAAATTGGTTGACTCCATGGATGTGTAACCATGAATATGAACTATGGTCATGGAGGGCTGACTATATATAATGCCTCGAATTCTGACTCAGCCATCAACTTTTTCCCTAACTCCCCAGACAGAATCTGTGCTTCATCCTCTCTTCTTCTGTAGTATTTTGCCCATATCTCAGCAGTCGCTCCTATCATACATCTATCTCCAAATTAGCTGGTGAGCTCCTCAGAACAGGGACTGTATTTGATCCATGTAGCCAGAAACTTTCTAACACAGTGCCTGGCATGTAGAAAGTAAAACCTCATTCTTGATTTCTGCACGGATAACCTCCTGTCCTTGCTGTGTTCTCCCATTGTAGTAACTAATAACATCATTTACCCAGTTGTTCTGATAGAACACCTTGAGGTCATCCTTGACTTCTGTCTCTCACAAGCCACATGCAATCCATCAGCAAGTCTTGTTTGTCTTACCTACACAAATGTCCAGAATCCAACCACTGCTCATCACATCCTGCTACATGTGTGGCCCAGTACACTGCAGTCTCTTTCCTATACTGCCTAAGCGCTCTGCTTCCATTCTTGTCCCTATACAGACTATTCTCTACACAGCAGCTATGATGAACTTTTGTTTTAGGATGAACTTTTAATACACGTTATACTATGTCTCTGCTGTACAAAGTGATTTTTCATTTTACTTAGAAATGCTCCATTTCACTTAGACGAGGCGCAGTGGCTCGTGCCTGTAATCCCAGCACTTTGGGAGGCTGCGGCAGGTGGATCGCTTGAAGTCAGGAGTTCGAGACCAGCCTGGCCAACATGGTGAAAAGTCATCTCTACTAAAAATACAAAAATTAGTTGGGTATGGTGGTGCATGCCTGTAATCCCAGCTACTTGCGAGGCGGAGGTAGGAGAATTGGTTGAACCCAGGAGGTGGAGGTTGCAGTGGGTCCTGAGATTATACCACTGCACTCCAGCCTAGGAGACACAGCGAGACTCTATCTAAAAAAAAAAAAAAAAAAAAAAAAAAAAAAAAAAAAATGCTCCAGTGATGTCCCATTTTACTTAGAAGAAAATTCGAGTTCTTACCATAGCCCATAGGGCCTCCCTTATTCTGCACACCCACCATCCACCTCAACTCTTCTTTCTTCCCATACTGTTTTTCTTACTGTTCCTTAGATACATCAAGCCTACTCCCGCCTCAGAGTCAGAGAGCTGCGTGATTTGGTTCCTCAATTCATCTAGGTCTCTGAGCACTCCCACGTCAGAGAAATCTAAAGTAACTACTCTGTCGCATCACCCTCTGTAATCGAAATGAACATCTTTCTTAAGCAAAGACAGTTATCTCTAAGGAATGACAGTGGGTCAAAGTGGGCAGGACTTGGTCAGAACTATTTCTCCTGCTCTGTTGACTTCTTTTAGGTCCAGGACAAGTGTTTCTACTATTCTGTTTGATCTATGTACATGTAATGTTGAGTTAATGAGCTGCTAAAACCTTCTAGATTGAAGATAAGCCGGTCAGCCTCAGGACCAGGAGGAATGGTAGCAATCACTCTTGGTATCATCTGTTTGCTTTTCTTGCTTAGCAACTCTGCCTTTGGTGACCCTGAATACAGACATAGTTTAAATATTTGTTTTCACAGGACTTCTTGGGCCTACTTTATATGCTGAAGTCGGAGACACCATAAAAGTTCACTTTAAGAATAAGGCAGATAAGCCGTTAAGCATCCATCCTCAAGGAATTAGGTACAGTAAATTATCAGAAGGTAAGATAAATTTAATGTTTTTCTGAAAGGGGAAAATGTCTAAGTCTTTAATACCAGCATCAACATTTAAAACTATATCGTTAACCACGTGTTGTTAGGGAAATCTCTTGCAACTGGTAATTATAAAAATTGTGGCTGTTGTAAGTTTCAAGAGAAGAAAAGGAAAAGGTTTTGGAGTTCCCTAGACCTGCATTTTTCACTGGGTTCTTACTCTTTAATGTTTGGGAGGGCAAGTTATCTAATTTCTCTGAATTCTCATATGTTCATCTTAAAACGGGAATAATAATACATACATTGAAAGATGGTTTAAGGCGGGGGTCAGTAAATTTTTCTATAAAGGGCTAGATAGTAAGTTTGTTTGGCTTTGCAGGCCATAAGATCTCTGTTGCAAGTACTCAACTCTGCCTTTTAGTACAAAAGCAGCCATAGATGATACTTTCTTTTTATGGCTTTGGTTACAGATGCCAGAACTAATTAACTTTATTACCTTATTCTTTCCCTCAAGTCATGCACCAGAGTAAAACTGCCTCTGACAATACAATTTTATTTACAAAAACAGGCAACTGGTTGGATTTGGCCCATGAGCCACTGACACAGTGACATAGAACTAGCCTGATATAGGCTTCCTGGCACATAGATGACACTCAGTAAGTGGTATTTGGTGGTGGCGAGACTAGAAGTATTAATAGTATTAGACTTTTGGACATACTGAAGTGATTAAGAAAGTAAGCTTAAAGGCAGACAAGTTAAAATTCTAGCTTTATCATTTCTGATTCTACGACTTTAGCATCTCTGAGCCTCAGTTTTCTCATCTATAAAATGGAAATGATTATAACCACCCATAAGATTGCCTGAAATTTAAATGAGATCACTTAGGTAGAGTACTAAACGTGGCTCCTGGGATCTGATAAGCTCTCAATAAATAATGATGACAATGATGGTAATGATCATAAAGGCAAAGCGATGCTAGTTATTGTACCAGCTGCTGAATAGTAAGTACCTGATGTTAACATGGCTCTAATTATCCCATTATGCTGATGCTCAGATCATTGTAAGCATCAGAGAGTTCCATCCGGCACTGGTATAAAAAATTGTATGCAAATTGTAATAGTTGTTGGTATAATAACATTTCAAAATAATTTCAGACTTTTCATGGTTCACAAATATCTTTCCTTCTCCCACGTGTTCCAGCCATCATATGTTTGAGAGAAGAATTGAGTAGGGGAGTGGTTTACGTGCAGGTTTTAGAACTAGACTAATAAGTGCAAATCCTGGCTCAGTGACTTTTATAAAGTTATTTAACCTCTGTGTGCCTCATCTTTCTCATCTGTAAAATGGGAATAATAATCATATCTCTGTCATACAGGTTTGTTGTCATGAAATCTTAGAATAATGATTAGCATATAACAGACACTCAATAAATATTAGCTATGAGAATAAAGATAGTTCTTCAATTAAAATGTGTTCAAATAATTTAGTATTTATCTGAAAACTTGTTAGTTTCAGAAAAAATCAGAAAGCAATTTTTAAATTTATTAATTTCTATATAACCTGTTGTCAAACTCATTCCCACTAAGGTATAAGTGACTGATAATAGGTCAATGAACTACCTTCCTTAGGAGTACTTGCATTAGCACTTAATTTTTGGCTTGAGGAAAAGCAATGAAGCATTAACTGTGGCATTGAGATTTCCTTCAAAGTGAATTTGGCAAGACTCTGGGTGAGGTAGTGTGCACAGGAGTTTCTCCTATGTTCTTAAAATCACACAATGACATACATGAAATCAGTCATACAGTGACATAGTGAACAACCACCTCACCTACTTATGAGGCTTCCAGACGACTGCATCAGGAGTTCAGCAATGTAAAGAAGAAGGGGGAGAAACCTCAAAATATCAAAATGTCACATGCAGGTTTCATTTCAAATAAGGGAGGAGGTAAGAATTGTAGACTTTGTACCCTACCCGGGCTGTTTGCACAGTGAACGAACCTTGCAACATTATCCCTCTTCCTTTACTGTTTGTTTGTCCCTATATTCCCCATAGCCAGCAATTATTTATGAGCAATTGTTTAAAATGCTCCCACAACTTTCACTGGAGATATGATTATTGGTGTATATTGCCTCTGGTCCTATGAATCTAAGAAAGGTAAATACATATCGGTGGGGAAAGTAAAATTTTACCTTGGAAATGAGATGCAAATCTAATAAACAGATAGCATCTTTTATGGTAAGAGACAAGCCTTCTAAGTTGATTTTATTATGCCCTCTGCATTAAAATAAAACATCTCCTTCTCCATGTCTGACACTCAGCCTCACCTATAGCCTCCCTCTGTGGTTTGAGGTACTTTTTTTAGGAGTGGGGATAAACTAACTGCATGCTGAGCCAGTTACATGAGAACCCAGATTCCTCTATCTCAGAGGTAGATATTTGAGAGATGGGTGGTAGTGGGGGGTTAAGATAGTATCACATTGGCTTGAGAAACCACAACAGAATATAAGGCAACTCTGGATAACCCTTTTTGACAGAATGGACAAACAGTGATTTGTAAAAATGCTTATAAGGACATTTCCTTTAATAATGTATTTAATAAGACTTTTAGATCAGGGAATAAAATGTCTGCAACTGTAACTAATCACTTAAAAACTATCACTAAAGGGTTTCAATTTGAGGTTACGTTTTCAGAAACTCTGTAACTAGCATGCAACAAATTGACTCTAATGCTGCACCTTTGAGCAAAGTTTGTTGTTCAGTAAAATTTTCAAAATTGTTTTAGTCAATTACCTTTAAAAAGCTTGTTTCATAGAGAATTTAATATTATTATTTTCTTTTAGTTATATTCTCATATTTTAAATGTATGAGTTGCATATGAATGTCATGTCACAAAATCAGTTCTATAATAGATCTGCTTATCTGCTGATAAGCCAGCTCTCCATCTGCCAGACATTGTTCCTTGTATCTAAGTGTTGCCAAATTCTCTATACAAAAATTTACTCTTCTAGGTTGTTCCAAAACATTCCAATGCTCGACTTAATGTAGGTGATTACATTTTTTCACTTTTCATCTGAATATTTTGGCCTTATGTAGATACTTCCTTGAGTATATGATAAACACTTGAAACAAACTATAATGGCTATGGTTTGTATATTTAATAAATCACAAAAATGTGGATCCCTTTTCCAAAGAGACTTGCAAGTCCTGTGCAATGAAATCAGCTCTTTATAAAACATCAGCATTGATTTGTCCATTGCCTACATTATAGCTTCTAAAAGAATGTTCTGAATCTTTGAATGCATTGAAGCATTCACTAAGTTTATTAACTTAGGAGAGGAAAAGAGTTGTTGACAAAAATAAATAACAAGGGAGAAGTTACTGAGTGAGCACCCTAATGGGTAACCAAAAAGGCTCTTTATGTAACTTAACTTCCCCAAAGCTTGTATGCACCATTTTTCATTTTAAAAAAATACTGGGAGCCTTTGGCAAGTAATTAGTACATCATGACAAGAGTAAATGCAATACAAAGCTGACTATCGACTGAGCAGGAAATGAACAGAACTGAGTAAATATAAAGGAAGAGCTTCCCTTGTGTAAAGATTTTATTCTAGCAAGCAGCTGAACAAGGACTTTCTGTGCTCTAGCACAATAGTTGTCCCTGTCCATTTCTCTTTTCAGTTTAGAGCTTTACTTTTTTTATTTTGATTACAAAGTCAAAATCACATTCACCAAAATTGCATCTCACAAATACTTCCTCTAAATAGCTGTTTGTATTTTATACTTTATAGTAATGTATGTTGCAAAATTAAAGATACAACAAACCTGTTTTATTCTAGGCTAAAGGTAAACTAACTTGAAGTTAAAAGAATATAAGCATTGATAAAATTATACCCCAATGATCTCATTAGCAGTTCTCACTCAGTGTAATTACAGAATATATCCTATGTGCAAGTCTATATTGTTCACTATTTGATTCAAGATGCTCATAAGTCAACTTTTGGTAGTATACTAAATTAACATCATTCATTTAATTATTTGAAATTAATCTTATATTTAACTGACAGGTGAATGTGAAATTCTGAGTAATTTAGTTTGGTCAATTAGACAGACATTAATTTGTGTGACTAGAGTAACCTCTCATTATCTATCTCAAAATATCATGTACACAAATACATACAATAATTTTTTAAGCCCAGTATGTGTTAAAATAAATCTAGGTGTGAAACACTGATCATTTATAAATAGGTTCAATATTGTTAGAAAATCAGTCACCCTGCTATACCTAGCACAAATGTTATAGCTTCTTAGGCAATTTTTAGATACTTACATTGGTTGGTTCTCATTCCAGATTGACAGTGTGTTCTAATTGTAGCCCTAGAAGAAATCTAGGGGTCAAACCTATCACAATTAGGGCACCAACATGTACCCTAGAGTTAACTAGGATGAGCCCCTCAGGGGCCCAGGCCCTGTCTTCTTTACATTTTTACTCTGGCATTTAGCACAGAGCCTGGAACCTAGTGGATGTTGATGGTCATGATCATGATGATATTAATAATTACTGAACTAAACTGAGGGACTGAGGACTGATTAGAAAGTAGGGACTATGCATTATTTTCCACTTGCTTTAAAATTATTGATTTTGCTGATAATTTTGAGCAGGTACCTTGTCTTACTTATTATCAAAAAAAAAAAAAAAAAAAAGTATTTTTACCAAAAAAGTCTTACTTACTTTTATCACCTTTGGAATAAATATATCACTGCAATGGACTGGATGTTTGTGTCCTCCCAAAATTAATGTGTTGAAATCTAACCCCCAGTGTGATGGCATTAGGAGGTGGGGCCTTTGGGAGATTTTTAGGTAATGGAAATGGAGCCCTCATGATGAGATTAGTGCCCTTATAAAAGGGACCCTCTCACTCACCCTCTTTCTACCATGTGAGGACACAAGGAGAAGATGGCAGTCTACAACCTGGAGGAGAACCTGCGCCAGAACCCAACCATGCTGGCA